TCTCCGCTGCGGAGCCGCCGGCCCGCCCCCGGCCTCTCCCCGGCCCCACCTCCAGCCCCGCCGGCTCCCCGAGAGACCCCAGACCACGCCCCGACTGGCTTGGGACCCGGCATCTCCCAACAGAGACCTCGGATCATGTCCCAATACCCAGGGGGACCTCAGACCGTGCCTTACATCCTTTGAGGACCCAGAACATGTTCTACGGCCACCCAGGACCACAAACCATGTCCTACTCTCTTTGGTGACCTCAGACTCTGCCCCACACCCCATCAAGGACCCCAGACCATATGTCCCAGAATCAACGGGGATCCAAACCACCCCCATCAGGGACACTAAATCACATCCCAACATTCAGGTGGACCCCAGACCACACCCCATCCCTCAGGGACCCCAGGCCATATGTCAAAATCCAGGGAAACCCCAGATCATGCCTTACTCCCTTTGGGGACTCAGTCCATGTTCTACAGCCACCCAGGACCACAAACCATATCCCACTCCTTGGGAACTCCCAGCCATGTCCTTCCACCTTCTGGGACCTCAAACCATTCCCTGACCCCCAATAGGGATTCCAGACTGTGTCTAAGTTCTTGAGGGCTCAAATATGTCTCTTGCCCCCATGGGAGACCCTAAACTTTCCCCATTACCCCCATTAGACCCAAACCATCCTCCCTCCAAGGCACTCCTTGGTTTCCAAAACCCCTGATTTGTCCCAGATTCTCTCCCATCCTCTCCACCAGTCCTGTCCTCATGAGGACCCTGCCTCCTCCCTGTTCCTATTCTATCTCTTAGACCCAGCAGAGCCTTCCCGCTTCCCTGTGACTTCCGTGGAGTCTAGAATTTCTTGCTCCTTCCTTGTTCAGACCCCTTAGCCCAACTCCTACCCAATGACCCCCGGCCCCTCCCCCAAATCCCACTGAGTATCTCCGGCCACTCTTCACCTCTTTCTGAGATATTCACTGTGCCCCCAAACCCAGCAAGGCCTCACCTCAAAGTCTGTCTCTTTGTGGTCCCCCAGATCCCTGGAGGCCCTTTCCATTTTGGATCCCACTGTATCAAGATCCTCCCCCAAACCTCTTTCCTAAACTGCTCCTCTCCATGTTATCGCAGGAAGCCTGCCCTGCTCCTCAGACCAAGGGCACCTCTGCAGAGCCTATGTCTGCTGAATCTTGACCCTGCTCATAACCATTAGATGGCCCCTGGGGGCACTCACAATCCCCACACACATACACCAGGCTCCAGATTCCACCTCCCACCCTGGATCCTGGTGCTACCTGCCAGGGCACGGAGGTCCAGGCTGGGAAAACAGAAGTGGGAGAATTTAACACCACCAAAAGTGGACACATGTCCAACACCACTCATGCCAGGAATGGTTCTAAGGCTCCGTTTACTCTTCACAGCAGCCAGATGAGGAGGTGGTCATCATTATCTCCATTCTACAGAAGAGGAAAACTGAGCCTTAGAGAGGTTTGGTCATTTGTTGAAGGTCGCACACACAGTCAGTGGCAGAACAGGGTGGAGGTGAAGGGGAAAGAGGGCGAGGGCAGACCTGGGGTGGAAAAGGAGAGGGTGAGAAGAAAGAGAATAAGGGGGACAGAGATACACAGAGATGAGAAACAAAGGCAGGGGCAACCTCACTCACAAAGCACATCTGGCATATCTGGCCCTGTGAGCTCTTGCCCTCACCCCCGATCACCCTTGTTTTTGGCCTCAGTGATGGCTGTTCTATTCCTTCAACACACTAGCTCATTCCAGCCCCTGGGTCTTTGGGGTTATTCCCCTTCCGTGGCTGATTCCTTCTTTTCATACAAGTCTCTCTCCTTTTTTTTTTTTTTAATGTTTTTATTGATTTCAGAGAGAGGAAGGGAGAGGGAGGGGGAGGTAGAAACATCGATGATGAGAGCACGCCCCCCACTGGGGATCAAACCGGCAACCCTGGCATGTACCCTGACCGGACTCGAACCACAATCTCCTGGTGATCTCCTGGTTCATAGGTCAAGATGCTCAACCACAGAGCCACACCGGCGAGGCTCATACAAGTCTTAATTCAAATGTAATCTCTTCAGAGACACCTTCCTTTCCCACCTGCAATTTACACCCCTACCCCCGCCAATGGTCCTGATGTCTGCAAATTACTTTGAAATCCATACAAAATGACATGGGTTGACGGATGGCTAGCCGGATGGATATGTAATACAGCAAGTGCAGAAAAACGTTAATGGTGGAATCTAAGTGGTGGGTATATAGGTATTCACTGTAAAATTATTTTGACTTTGCTGCATGTTTGAAATGTTTCAAAATAATGTTGGGAGAAAATAAAAAGGCAGGAGGACTCTTCTAGAGACAAAAGAGGCAATAAAAAATAGCCCCAACAGGTCCCACCACTTCTATCACAACACCTCATTAGATTTCCCTCATAGCACTTATTACCCATGGTAATGACCTTGTTTGCCCATTTGTTTACCTAACTTATTGTTTACTTATTTGTTTATTGCTTACTGTCTAGTCGTTGAAATATAAGCCTTCTGAGGGAAGTGGCATGGGCACCAATTTTCTCCAGTGTTTAAAAGACCATTGACCCCAGGGGGTGCTCAGTAAACGTGTGTTCTCGAATGCCTCTTGGGAGAGGATGAGGTCCACTAGAGACTCACTGTAGAAAACACACTCAGGAATAAATGTGCTTTCCTAGCCTGAGATCACTAGAAGGGAAAGGGTATAAGCCAGCGGCTGGGGTGTGCTCCTGAAGGTCAGGGAATGTGAGTTGACCTGAAAAAGAGGGCAACAGGTAGAAGTAGAGAGTGTGCTTATTTCCCTGGGCCCTAATTCCTGCCCTAGACCCAGCTAATTCTTCCACAATTTAGCGCCTCCACTCCCACTCCCCATGCCCATCTCTAAGGCTCCGCCCCAAAGAAGAAACCCCAGCCAGCCTTGTCTGACCTAAGCAAAGCCCCTCAATTCTAGGTCCCACACCCACACCTTAGACACTACCCTAAAGTGTATAGTATGTATTCAGACTTCTTTAGCTGTGCCCCTGCAGCAAGTCTAAGCCCCACTCCTTGGCCTAGCCCCACCCTCCCCCCTTAGGCTCCACCCCATAAGCAGCTAGTTCTCAGCCTAGGCACTGGCCCCTCATGTCCAGGCTGGGTCCCCCATTCTCAGCTCTGCCTAAAATCCAGTCTCCACCTCTCCCATCTAAGCCCTGTTTACATTCTAGGTTAGCTAGGAGAAGTGCCTAGGAAAGCCTAGGGTCAGGATTCAAACATCAGGGAGCCTGGATCTGTAGAAGCCTAGAGGGAAGGTGGCTGGAAAGAGGGGAGGCAGTCCCTTAGTTTGTACCGCCCCTGGAAGGAGTGGCCCCAAACCCAAAGCCACGGCCCACTGTGCCGATTCTTCATTGGACACTGTGTATTGTGTTCTGGCTTTTCTGGTTGGCCCCCCCATAATCCCTCTAGCCAAACCTATTCTGCATTGGGCTGCCCCCTCAGACCGGCTCTCTGACTGGTCTCTGCTTTCCAAACTCCCTGCTCCTGATTGGGCAATTCCTTGTACATGCTTCTTTCTGACTGGATTGTTCGCAATCATAAGCTTGGACGCAGGCAGAAGTTCAACAATTGGGGAGGAGGGACAGGTGGGAGGGGAGGGAGGAGGGAGAGGGGGAAATGGCCGGCCCAGGAAAGGGAGTGGCCAACTGGACACAGAATAGCCCCGGGTTAAAGTTCTAACTGTGGGACTTCAGGCAACCGTTTTTAGTTTCTGTGCCTGTTTCTTCATCTGTAATTTGGGGATAATGTCCCTTCTTCATGGGGTATTGTAAGGATTAAGTGAGTTAATACCTATAAAGTGCTTATAGAAGTACTTGGCACATAGGAAGCCCTCAGTCAGAGGGTTAGCTATTATTATTAATTTGATCATGTAAGTGCACAACCTTAAATAGTCCTTTTGCCTCTCTGACCTCTGCAGGCTGCAATTTGCTTGACCTCTTAATTGAATGACTTCTCCTATCCCCAGCGCTCCTCCTCTTCCATCTCTAGCTATCAATAGGGACTCAGGCCGTGATCAGAGGGAAGGTAGAGATGTGCCTGGCAGAGAGGGGAGGTAGGGCACCAGGACAAGTGCCAGAGGAGAAGAGCTCAGCCCACCCACAGAAAATGGAAGGCAGGGGGGATTTCTCTATGGCCCAATGTAGAGTGATTCTATCTTGAATCCCTCATATAAGGGCTTGTCCTTATTGGGGATAAGGGGGCAAGGGATGGGTAGAGTGAGGTGGTGAGGGGATGGTGTATTCTGGCTGGGAGGGATCAGAAGGGTTGGAGCTGGGGAGGGGCAGCCCAGGCCCAAGGTCACAGTGCCATTGTTACCATGACAACAGCCACCTCTCTATAGGGAACCTGGAAAGGGGTGAGGAAGGGAGCCAGGCCCCTGAATCTGGGGACCTAGGGAGGAACTGAGACATGAAGGAGAAGCAAAGACACAGAAAGAGTGGTTTATATCTATGAAGATCTGCCCATCTTGGAATTTTCTGAGCCTGATAAACAGTTGGTGCTCAATAAATGTCCCTCAGAGACAGAAACAAAGAGCCTGAGGGAGTCAAATGCCCCGAGATGCCAGAAGAAAAAAGAATCTCCAGACAGGGATGGATAGGATGTCCCTTTTCTGCCCCCTCAACCTCATACCCATCAGGGGCCCACTGAGGATCCTGGATCCTCTTTCCCCAGCACTGGGACCTCAGGTCTACCCAAGCACACAACCCACCCCAAAACTCCTGAGCCCCTGAAGCAATTATGTTTGATCTCTCAACAAGTTTTCTGCCTTTAAATTCTTCCTGCCTTGGGGCTCACTGAGAAAAGTAGCATTCAGTGCAAGCTAATGCCTGCTAGCCCCTAGAGCTGGGAGGGGAAGGGAGGGGAAAGAAGCACTCTGCCGCCTCTGCTCTCAGAAACCCAGGCGTTCTTATTCCCCTCCAGAGTGGCCCCTCCGTGGATTCAAATATTCCCCCAGTTCCTCCAGGAGCCCGGGCCTCCCCCATACTCCCTAGGAAACTCCACAGGCTGGTCAGAGAAGCAGGTGGCCTCTCCTCCCGGAATTCAGGGGCATCCGCTTGGCCGGCCTGCCCTCTGCTGGCCCAAGGCTGGTACTGCAGGCACTGTCAGCCAGCGCCCAACATGAGAAACAGAAACTGAGCCAGAACGCAGGATCTCCGAGTTCTTGCGTTTTAATTTCTTCAGGGTCTCCGATGTTCAGATCCCAGGGGTCTGAGTTCCCAGACATCAGAAATTCAGATCCCCAACCCAGAGGTCAACGAAAGAAAGACAGCTTCTCTTGGAGCCAGGCCTCGGTGAGGTCATCAGTGGTGCGGATTTCAAACACCTGGGCAGGGAGAGTTCTCAGTATTATCCACTCAGGAGCTGAGAGAGTGAGGACTCCAGCCCCTTCCTCCCTCGGACCCAGGGGCCCAGACTCCCAGAACCCTCCTCCCTAACGCTCTGGAAGCCTCGACCCCAGGCCCAGACCTTTGTGAGCTCTGCCGTCTGTACCAGTCTGTTTTTACTCCCTGCATACATCATCTGTTGTTCGGGCTTGCAGCCTGCATGGAAAAGGGGAGAAGGGAGCATAGCTGGCCAACCCCGGGGTGTTCTCTAAGGGCCCAGTAATGTCCTGCAGGCCCTGGAGTTTTCTAGGGGTCCCAGGAGCTGTTCTAAGGAGTCCCAGTTTTCAGTTTTGTCTAGGGGCTTGAAGTTATTCTGTGGACCCCTGGAGATGGTTTATGGGCCAGACAGGAGTTTCTAGGTAAGAAAAAAAAAAGGTAGGTTTACTTATATATCTCGGGACCGAGGAGGACGTGTGGGCTCTTGAGGAATCTAAGGCCCCAGCTTCCATCCCACTGCCCTCCTAGTACTCACACACCACCCACGCCACCCACTCCCATATCACCAAGCCACATGCACACTCACACACACCTGCACTCACAAACACACTCTTACACACCCCACCCACAGAATCTAGGACCCTATTCTCAGGATGGGTAGAGCTGTGTCTCACCCACAGGACTGGAGAAGATGAAACACAAGGGGTAGGACACTCGGCCATCTGCGTGCACATACTTGTAGCTGTAAACCACGAACCTACACCAGTGAAAGGGAATTTGAACTCAGGACTTCAGCCTGGAGCCCAGGCCCAATGCCGATTACCTGAGTCTACAAACTTGAAATCTTGCCTGAGTCTGAGAACCTAGGGTTAACAACTCAGACTGAAATACTGGCCTCAAACACAATTAATTATTAAAAATAACAATAACAGTTAAGTGCTAAATAGAACTACCATATGATCCAGTAATTCCACTTCTGGGTATTTATCTGAAGAAAATGAAACACAATTTCAAAAATATATATGCACCCCATGTCCATTGCAGCATTATTTACAATAACCAAGATATGGAAACAACCTACATGTCCATTGATGAATGAATGGATAAAGGAGGTGTGGTCTATACATACAGTGGAATACTATTCAGCCATCAAAAAGAAAGGAAATCCTGCCATTCGTGACAACATGGATGAAACATTGAGGCATTATGCTAAGTGAAATAAGTCACAGAGAAAGACAAATACCGTATGACCTCACTTACATGTGGAATTTTGGGAAAAAAGGAAACAAATATCCCTGGCCAATTTGGCTCAGTGATGAGAGCACTGGTCCACGAACTGAAGGGTCTCGGGTTCCATTCCTGGGCCAGGGCATGTACCTTGGTTGCAGGCTTGACCCCTGGCCGGCGCAGGAGGCAACCAATATATGTGTCTCTCTCACATCGATGTTTCTCTCTCTCTCCTCTCTTTTTCTCTCCTCTCTCTCTCTCTCCCTTTCCCTCCCTCCCTTCCACTCTTTCTAAAAATCAATGGAAAAAATATCCTCGAGTGAGGATTAACAACAACAAAAATGTTAGTGCTTATCTGACTCACAACAACCTTATGACGAAGGTGCTTTATTATCCCCATACTACAGATGGGAAGACTGAGGCCCAGATAGGTGACGTCACTTGCCCAAGTTCTATGGGTAGATTTGAACCTGGACTATAAGTGCTCAACCACTATGTGATACTGTCCAGCTGGGGCTGAGACCAGGCCCAGCTACACAATTTGCCAAGCTCAGTGCAAAATGAAAGTTTGGACTATAAGGGATTTCCAGACAGCAGGCAGCTGCAGAGCATTACCCCCCATGTTCGAGGCTGCCTTCTGGGTATGGGGCTCTATGGGACTAGACTTGTCAGGCGCCCAGGAAGCTGGTTCTGGCTGGGATGGAGGCTCAAAATTCTTGGGAGCTCCAAATTCACCCTAGGGGAGACGGAAAATCTGCACAGACCAGTTATCATGAAGTGTCAAAGGGCTCCTCTACACACAAAAAGCATCAGGCTCATGTGGCTTCACACAAGCTTCTTCCCAATTGGTAAATGTCAAATAATTTATTTGTTACTGGAAGTGTTCCACAGCATTAAAAAGAAGGAAATTTTCTTTCTTTTATTTAATGAAGCAAGCACAATGTTAAGGCCAAAACCTGACAAAGTTTGTATTTTATAAAAAGCAAGCTCTAAGGTCCCATATGATTATCAGTGTAAAATTCTGCAATAAAATATTAGTACATTGTACAAAAAGTCCTAGGATAGGAACTCTTGGCCTCAAACACAGAGATCCCAAGCAGTCCCTCAGTCTCCCCCTCCATCATCACCCCTCTCCCCAAGGCCCGGCCCTCCCGTTCCTTCCCCCAGGATACCTTGGCTGTCTCTCGGGCAGCTCCATTTTTAGTTCCTCTGGAGAAATGTTCTGCGGGAGGGGGGAAAACAGGAGAGAAGAAAATGTTGCTATTAACCCAGCCAGGCGTGGCTCACGGGCTGAGCATTGACCTAGGATCCAGGAGATCGAGGTTTGATTCCCAGTCAGGGCACATGCCCGGGTTGCCGGCTCGATCCCTAGCAGGCGGTGTGCAGGAGGCAGCCGATCAATGATGGCTCTCTCATCATTGATGTTTCTATCTCTCTCTCTTCCTCTCCCTTCCCCTCTGAAATCCATAAAAATACTTAAAAAAAAAAAAAAAGAAAAAAGAAAATATTGCCATTAAGCAAGCATTTACTCTGTGCCAAGGCACTGGTCTAGGTAACAAACACAGACCAACTCATCAAGCTCTTCCATAGCACTGCGGGGTAGGCCTATTATTATCCCTACTTTACAGGTGAGCAAGCTGATGCCCAGAGGTGTTAAGCCACTTGCCCAGGATTGCACAGCAACTCTGAGCAGAGGAGTTCAAATTTGAATCTGGGTTTAAATCATCACCACTTTACTGTGCTTCCTTGTAGAAGACCCGAGGGAGCCCAGCTGCTAGTCAATCTCTCCCCGTCAAACAGCCCCAGCCTCAGTCTCCACACCTACCCCCTAAACCCCTACAACACTATGAAGTAAGCCCTATTATCACACCCCTGTTACCGATAAAAGACAGTGAGGCCAAGAGCGGGCGAGGCCTACCCTTTTATAAAGGATTTCCACTAGCTTTTTGTTAATTTATCTGGAAATTCTATCATTTAAGTGCCAGTAAAGTATTACCATCATTATCATTTTATTGAGCATATACTATGTGCCAGGCCTTCTAAACCCGCTACAAAGATTAAATCATTGGACCCACAAACAACCCTATGAGGTCCGTACTGTTATCTTCATTTCACAGATGAGGAAACAGAGACCCAGACCCATACAGGAAATGTCTCTTGCCTAAGATCACAGCTGAGCTGGGACTTGACCTCCAGGTCTTTCTGGGCCCCAATGCCAGGCTCTTAGCATCAGTTTCAGACCCTTGGGTCTCCCAGTCCCACCCTGCACTTCTTGGGAGGCCCCATCCACCCCAACCCCTCACCTGAAATTCTTCCTCCAGCACAACCATCTGCCGGTCTTTGTCCACCTTCACTAGGGAGGGACAGCACACAGGGGTTAGGACGCCCCTTCGAACTCAGTGACTCTAGCCCAGCCCTCCCCATGTATCCCCACCCCACCCCCCAACCTTCCAGGGAAAATGTCACTCACTTATTATGGCTGCGTTGTCTGTCTCTTTTCGAAAGCGGAATTTCCTCAGCTTTTCCTTTAGCTCTGGGTCCACCTCGCAGACCACCAGGGAGTCAGACTGCAGCGGGGCCCAAAAAGAGCTGAGCTGGCCTCGCCTCAGCCCCTGCCCCCGTCCCCTGTCCAAGCCTCAGTTTCTCTGCCTAGTAGCGAAGAGGATTGTTCCAGTAGCCCATGTGAGGCCTTCGTGAGCGTGGGGAAAAGACGCCCTTTCCCCAGGCAGATGCTGCCCCTCACCAGGGCACACACTTGGGTTGCAGAGCAGAGGCTGACCTTCAGCAGGTATCCTTGGGCAACAGGCGAGGAGACCCAGGGGTCTGCTTGCCTGGGGCTAAACCCGGCACCACCATCCCTCTCCCCCCAGCCTGGTCCTTTGCCACCGTGGGGTCCCCTTCCCAGCCCCTGACCTCCAACCCACAGCCTGACCATCACCCAGGCATCCTCCCAGCCCCAGCTCCACCCCATACGACCCCTGGCCCCCTGACCATGACTTTTCTGTCCACAGGCCTCTTCTTTTCTCAGTTCCGCTGTCTTCTAGGGGTGGGGACCAGGGCTGGGGAAGGGGGGGTGAAGTGTGGGGTAGGGGAAAGGTTTCATACAACACCACATCCTGTTTATGCCCAATCTGGGACAACTGTTGCAGAGGGCTCCTCCCCCTCCTTCCTTCCCCTCATCTGCCAGGACCTCCCAGCCTTTGCAATCACCTAGGTTGGGGTTCGAATGCTGCCTCGCTGTGTGACCATAGCTAAGTAACTTCACCCCTCTGATTCAGGATTATTGTGAGGATAAAACAGCTTCACGTGTCTCCCAGCACAGCGGAGACAATATACAAAAGACAATAATGAGCTCTTTAGCTCCTCCCCTCCTTCAGGAAGTCTTCCTGGATTTTTGCCCATCTAGAATATTTTAACTCCAGAGCTGAAAAGGGAGCTGCTAGTCAAACTGTCACCTGCTGTGTTGGTGGGGAAATGGAGAGGAGAGAGGAGACATCGCAGCAGCAGAATAATGGTGAAATTTTTCCTGAAGTTATTCAGCCTCATGGGCTTTATAATGGGCCCTACAACAATGGTGTTCAATCTTGTCAGACCAGTACACCCTTTTTTATTAAGAGCATTTTGTATTGCTTCCTGTCCCATCCTGAAATGAAATTCCTAGATAATGTATCCTGCTTATACACATACATTTTTTAAAAATCAATATAATGTTCTGTCATATAAAGGAGAAATGAAAAAGAAGTAATTTATAGGGAAAACCTATGTATTTCAGCGAGAAAATACAAGCAAACAAAAGAGAATTTTTGCAGATCCCGGCCCCATAATGGCTGCTTCCCTTCAGAGTCGTGAACAAGCCTTTCTCGTCTCCCTCTCCTCCACACTGGATCCCACCCTGTGGCCCACTCAAGGGCATCACTGCAGCTACCCCCCCACTCCCTGCACCATCCACAATCCCATCTCTGCTGGATCTTTCCCTCATATAGGCAGTGTTACACCTTCCATTTTAAAAACTAAAAACCCCATCTCTTGCCCAGCCACTGCCCATTCATTTCCTTCCCTTTTCAGCAAAACTTCTTGAAGGTGTTGTTTATACTTGCTATTTCCAATTTCTCCTCCCAATTTTCTCTTCTACTCTCTCCCAGCAGACTCTCCTTCATGTCCTTCTCCGTTGACCTGGCCACCAGTGACCTGCATGGTGCTAGACCCCATGGTCAATTTTCATTCTTCAACTGACACCATCCATCACTACCTGTGCTCTGAAACACTTAAAAAAATTTTTTTTTAATATATTTTTTAATTGATTTCAGAGAGAGGAAGGGAAAGGGAGAGAGAGATAGAAACATCAATGAAGAGGGTCATTGATCGGCTGCCTCCTGCATGCTCCTTACTGGTGATGGAGCCCGCAACTGGGGCATGTGTCCTGACCGGGAATCGAACTGTGATCTCCTGATTCATGGGTTGATGACCAACCACTGAGCTACACTGGCTGGCCTAAAACACTTTTTTCACTTAGCTTTCAGGACACCACCCTCACCAGGTTTTCCTCCAACTCCTCTGTCTGCTCCTCCTTCTAACAGTGGAGTGTCCCAGGGCTCAGTTCTTGGTCCCCTTCTCTTTTCCATCTACCTTCCTCTCTTCCTCTTCCTGATCTCATCAATCTCTTGCATTTCAAAAGGGCTGCCTTAATTATTTCTCCAGCTGGGCATCCCACTCAACTCTAGACTCTTACATCCAGTGGCCAACCTGACATCTCCATCTGGATGTCTTGGAGTCATCTTTGACCCCTCTCTTTCCTTTGACAACATACATTAGAACTTCTCACCCTGGACGTTCCAAATATAACCAGAACCTGCCCATTTCTTCCCCTCCTCAGCCCGTACCCTGGTCCTGCCACCTTCATCTCCTGCCTGAGCACTGAAAGGAGAAGCCCCTTTCTCTTCTCTGCAGTTTCCCTACTGCCCTCTCCCCACACTGTATTCTTCATAGGACTACCAGAGAGATCCTAATAAAACCCAAGTCAGGTGGCATACCTCCTCTCTCACAACCCTCCCATGGCTCTGGTATTATTGGGGTAAAAGCAAAAGCCCTTACAGTGGCCTTTAGAACTAAATCATCTGCCATCATTCCTCCTCCATTACCTCTTGGATCCTGTACTACTCTCCTCTGTGCTCACTCCAGCTACACTAGCCTTTGTGGTTCTGTGAATAATTCTGCCCCTGGGCCTTTGCACTTGCTATTACATCTTTTGGGAACCCTCTTTCCCTCGTGGTTCACTCCTTAATTCCTTCAGATTTCTGTTCAAATCCCACCTGATGAAAGAAGTCTTTCACCATCTAAAATGGTACTGACCCAATTTCTCCGTCCTGTTTGCTTTATTTTCCTCCATCGTACTTATCACCAAGTTACATAGTGTTTGTTTATTGTCTGTGCCCCACCTCCCAACCAGAATGTAGACTTCCTGAAGACAGGTGTTTGTCTGCCTGCCTTGTTCATTGCTGAAATTCCAGAACTTGAGCAGTGCATGGTACATAAGAAATATTATTTAATGAGTAAGTGAAGCAGCATCTATGGAGCACAATCACTCTATATGGTGTGAAAGTTCTTGCTTTGATGAAGGGGTAATGGGTGGGGTTTGTGCCATGCCACACACCCCCTGAAATAGCCTTTCCTCACTGCATCCCTAGTGCCACACCTGGTTTTCCTCCTCTCTGCTGCTCCTTCTGGATCTTTGTTGATTTCTTTGCTCAAACCTTCCATGTCCGCTTTTTCTCGCGGTTCTGTTGGGTCCTTGTTTCCATTCATCCCTCATACCCTCTCCAGGCTAGGTCACTAATTTCCACAGCTTCAATCTCCATCTTTGATGATCCTTGAATCTTGGTTTCCAGCCCCAATTTCTCTCTTTAAGCTCCGGACACGGGGGTGGGGGGGGGTGCAGCCTCTTTGACCCTGCTTCTGGGTAGCCCACACTGGGCTAGAATCTTCAGAACCTGCATCTTTTCTGGGTCTCCTCAGGAAGATCCCTCCAACCCCGCAACCTCCCAGCCAGAAGGCCTTATCTCACATTTCTTCCTCTATCGCCCGCTGCAGGCAGCCAGTTCACCTTGCCTCCTGAGCTTCTCTCCCACCCCCACCTCCTCCCCTTCCCACAGTCCACCCTGGTGCAAACGCCCCTCTCCCATCCCTGCTGCTTCCCTGTACTCACAGCCCCCAGTTCTATTCTCTCCAAGACAGGAGCCAGAGATATATTTCCAAACCCCCAACTCACCATGACTCTTCCCAGGTCGAAGCCTTTCTATGGCTCCGTAGTGTCCAAAGGACAAGTCCAAACTCCCTCAAGTGGCCAAACATCTGGCTGCAGCTCACGTCCCACCACTCCCTGCCTTGAACTCTACACTACACCCCCACTGCATTTCCTGAGTTACTCTCAGTCACCTGAGAGCCTCCTGAGCGAGGACCCCGGCTCTGCTAGCTCACCCCGGGCAAGGGAAGTCTGTAGAATGAACGAACAAATTACAATAGCCGGAGCAACAACTCCCTTTTATTGACGGCTTCCTTTGTGCCCAGCGCTTTACATGCATCGTCAGAGAGGGGTGTGCAGAGAAAGCGGAGCCTCCAGAAGTCCGACCGCCAACCTGGAAGGTGGGGAGCACGGCTGGGCCAAGGCCTTAGGCCAGGCGTGCAGACGGGCCGGGAGCGAGCCTTGGACGCCAAAATCAGGAATTGTGACTTAGTGCGAGGCGGCTTAGGTAGACCTGCACGGGACTGCCCCCTGCGGGCCGGGAGGCCCAATGCCGGGCTCAGCCGGGCTCGTTGCCCGTGGCAACGCCGCGCGCGCCCCGCCCCTTCCCC